CATTTCTCAGTTTCCAGTTTTTTGGCACCACAAAAACAGCTGTTGTAAAAATTTTTTGTACTTATGGACCTTTTTCCTTTTTCTTTGATCTCTTTGGTATATAGACCCAATAGTGGTTGGTAAGCTGGATCAATGGCTATTTATTCACAGTTTTATAGCTTTTTAGTCACAGTTCCAATTGTAGTTCAGTTTTTTCAGTTGTGTCTGACTCTTTGTGACCCCATTTGCAGTCTTCTTGGCAAAGATACTAGAGTGGCTTGCAATTTCCTTCTTCAAGTCATTTTACAGATGAGGAAACTGAGGCAAACAGGGTTAAGTGACTTGTCCAGGGCCACACAGCTAGTAAGTATTTGAGGCCAGATTTGAATTCAGGAAGATGAATCTTCCTGACTCCAAGCCTGGCACTCTATCCACTGCACCACTTAACTGTCCACATAGGTCCAAACTGCTCTCCAAAATGGTTGGACTGGTAGTGCACAGCTTTACCAACAGTAGTACATTAATGTACATATTTTCTTACATTTACTCCAGCATTTGTCATTTTCCTTTTCTGTCATCTTAGGCAATCTGATGAATGTGAGATTGTATCTCAGAATTTTCATTTGCATTTCTCTAATCATTAGTGATTCAGAGCATTTTCTCCATAAGATTATTGATAGCTTTGATTTCTTCCTCTGAAAACTGCCTGTTATATCCATCCCTTCAGCATTTATAAATTTGGAAATGACTTTTTTTATATAAATTTGACTCAGTTCTCTATATATTTGAATAAGACCTTTATCAGAGAAACTTCCTGTAAAATCCCCCCCCCCCCCCCAGTTTTCTTCTAATTTTGGCTTTATTGTTTTTGTGGTACAAAAACTTTTACGTGATCAGAATTATCCATTTTACCTCTCTGTCTCTTGTTGATTTGTGAACTCTTCCCTTATCCATAGATCTGACAGGCAATTTCTTCCATGTTCCTCTAATTTGCTTATGATATATCCAAATCATGTACCCATTTTGAGTTTATCTTGGTATATGATATATGGTCTATGCTCAGTTTCTGCCAGACTACTTTTCAGTTTTCTTGGCAGTTTTTGTCCAATAATGAGTTCTTGTCCCAATAGCTGAGATTTTTATGTTTATCAAACATTAGGTTATTGTATTATTTACTTTTGTATGTTGCATACTATGAAAAATGATTCTCAGAGCTTCCCTCACCCCAGCCAGCTTCCTGCTCTAAAGTTCTTCAGAAGGACATTACTGATAATGAGACTACATAGAGTCTTATCCTGGTCAAACTCCTACCCAGGCCTGAATTGATTTAATCTGCCCAGTCTTGGGTGGAGACAGATTGTTCTGCCTAGATAGCCCAGGGCTAACATGGTCTGGTTGGAGGGTGGTCTGATAGAACAGGTATTTTCTCTGGAGGTAGAATGAAAAGGTATTTTACCAGTATTAAGTGACCTAAATCATGTACTCAATTTTAGTATAGCCTACCTCTCAGTGTGTTGACCAGAGTTGATTGGCATCCCTTGGGAACACCTACTCTTTGAAGGCTATATAAGTGTACCCCCAAATTCCAAATCAAGCCAGTTCTGGACTGTAACTCCCCTGCAATGTACGTCATGCCAGCTTGAGAGAAATAAAAAGTGGACACACGACCTAAATTGTTTGTTTCTTTCCCAGAACAAACTGTTTTTGGGGTTGACGGTACCTAGTCTATTCCATTGATCAACCATTAGCATCATTGATGCTAATCATTGAGGAATGAATACAGGTAGATCAACTCCTGCCCTCATATTAGGGGACTTCAACATAGAGACTGATATTCCCTCAAACACACTAACATCCTAATTCCTCAATTGAGTTTCCCATGATTTAGTCTCCCAATCCCTCTTAGTTACACAAAGAAATGATCATATCCTTTATCAGAATTATAGTCTTTCAAAGTTGTTTTTTCAAATGCTTTTACTGATATTCTCTTTCTTACATCATCATAGTATACCTATATATCCAACTCCCTTCCCCCCCAAGAGCTATCCCATGACTAATAGTAATTTTTTAGAGAAAAAAAGTCAGCCTAATTGATCGATACATTGAAAAAGACTCAAAACACATGCAATGTGTAATATCTATGGACCTCCTGCCTCTACCAAGGAGTAGGTTGGGTTTCTTCTCAGATTCTTCATTTGAGTCTCACTTGATATTTATAATTTTGTTACATTTACTTTTGATTTTTTGGTGTCATTCTTTCCATTTACATTGTTATATTTACTGTGTATAGTTTTCTTGGTTCTGCTTACTTCACACTGTATCAGTTCATATAGATCTTTCCATGTTTCTCTGTATTCACCACACACCTAATTTCTTACAGTGCAGTAGTATTCCATTACTTTCATGTACTATAATTTTAGCCATTTCCCAACTGATGGACATCCACTTTGTTTTCAATTCTTGGCTATCTCAAAAAGTGCTGCTATAAATATTCTGGAGTGTATGAGCACTTTTTTCTTATCAATGGCTTCCTTGGGGTATAAGCCTAACAACAGAGATTCTGCTTCAAAGGGTACAGACATTTTAGTCACTTTGCATAATTCCAAGCTGTTTTCCAAAACAGTTATATCATTTCACCATTCCACCAAGTTGTTTCTCTTTTAGATACAATTGACACTTCTGGCTGATAGCATTAGAGAGAGAGAGAGAGAGAGAGAGAGAGAGAGAGAGAGAGAGAGAGAGAATGAGAATATGTTGTAAGGGCTTTGTTGTTTGTTCTTTCATTTTGATAAAGATTGGAATTATGGCCTTTTAAGCTTTGGGAGATCAGGAGAGCAAGTCACCATCTAGAAGATCTGATCTCTACTGAAGGAGATGTACTAGAATTTGCAGCCAGGAAGTCTAGCTCTAAGGCATCTAAGGGGAAGGTGAGAAGTGATCAGAAGATCACTGGGCCTAGAAAGACCCAGCCAAATAGTAGCTGAAAGAAAGATTCATCCAGCAGGAATGCTACATTTGGGATATGAAATTGATGGGAGCAGTAGAATCTCTATAAATCTGAATCTACTTTCCCTAGGGACCAAAGTGGAATGTGGCTCATGTTATCCCTATGCCCCACCTTGTAGGGGGAATATTTTTCTTTTGTTCTTGCTAAATCTTTGAAATAACAATCCCTTTGTAAAAGGTAATCAATATTAATTGTTTAAATAAAATCGAAATGCTAGTCATTAGCAGCTAACGGGGGGGGGGGGGG